GCTGAAAGGCGTCCTGGGGAGCCTGCAGTCTCTACAAAGGTGCTTTGGTGGCTGGGGAACAACAGGGCCGCCGACCCCAACCCTGTCCTGCCTTCTAAGCAGAGCTGAGAGTGTCCCTTTGCTGTATAGCGTTCCCACCTAACACCTGACTTGAAGAAGGTGGCAAGTGTGAAGAGTGCTGTCCTCTACCCTAAAATTCTCTTTAGAGCAAGTATCTTCCCCAAACAAGTTTTCAGCTGCCCTACAGTTTGGTCCTCCCTCCCTCCCTCCCTCCCCCCGCCTCCCTCCCTCCCTGTCTCCCGTACCCCACCCTCCCTTCCGCCCTTCCTTTCTCTGAAGTGTAGTTGATTTATCAATACAACGTTGTGGTAGTTTCTGCTGTATTGCAAAGTGACTTAGTTATACACATATAGACATTCTCTTTTTTTTGTATTCTTTTCCATTATGGTTTATCACAAGATATTGAATATGGTTCCCTGTGCTATGTAGTGGGTCCTTGTTGTTTATCCATCCTATAGATACTAGTTTGCATCTGCTAACCCCAACCTCCCACTCCATCCCCGCCCCCCCCGCTGCCCCTTGGCAACCACAGGTCTGTTCTCTGTGTCTGTGAGTCTGTTGCTGTTTCGTAGATAAGTTCATTTATGTCATATTTTAGATTCCACATATAAGTGATGTCATATGATACTTGTCTTTGTCCGGCTTACCGCACTTTCTGTGATAATCTCTAGGTCCATCTGTGTTGCTGCAAATGGCATTATTTCATTCTTTCTTATGGCTGAGTAGTATTCCATTGTATATACATACCACATCTTCTTTATCCATTCCTTTGTCAATGGACATTTAGGTTGCTTCCGTGTCTTGGCTATTGTAAATAGTGCTGCTCTGAAGATAGGGGTGCATGTATCTTTTTGAATTATAGTTTTGTCCAGATATATGCCCAGGATTGGGATTGCTGGATCATATGACGTAGAGTTTGGTTATTTCTAAGCAAAGTTCTCATGAGCCACCTGGACGTGTTTAGCTTGATTTCACTGATGTGAAATCAAGCCTTTTCCAACGTGAAATAGTATATGTATGAAACGGGACCTTGAAAAATGAGCCATGTTGAACCATCATCTGTGTCCGGGTTTCTAATTTTATAATTATGGCAACCAACCGCACGTCTATATCTCTTGGTCTCCATCTCTGATAAATGCCCTAGATAGTTGCCAGGAGTTGGGATTGGGGACTGTTTGAGTTTCCTAGGGCTTCTGTAACAAAATACCACAAACCAGGTGGCCTAAAACAACAGAAATTTATTCCCTCCCAGTTTAGGGGACTAGAAGTCTGAAATCAAGGTGTAATTGGGGTTGGATTCTTCAGGAGGCTCTAGGGGAGAATGCATCCCATGCCTCTCTGCGGGCTTTTAGTGTTCTGGCAATCTTGGCTCGTGGAGCATTCCTTCAAACTCTGCCTCTGTCTTTTTTTTTTTTTTTTAAGCTTTTTAAAAAATATTTATTTATTTATTTTTGGCTGCGTCGGGTGTTAGTTGTGGCACGCAGGATCTTTTTGTAGCAGCGCGTGGGCTCTTCATTGCGGCGTGCAGGCTCCAGAGTGTGTGGGCTCTGTAGTTGTAACTCTTTAGTCGTGGCTTGTGTGCTCCGTAGCTGTGGCATGCGGGCTTAGTTGCCCTGCGGCACGTGGGATCCAGGGATCGAATCTGCGTCCCCTTCATTGGAAGGAGGATTCTTAACCACTGGGCCACCAGGGAAGTCACCAAGCTTTATTTTATTTTGGTATTGTTTTTTGTTTTTTTAAATTTTATTGCAGTATAGTTGATTTACAGTGTTGTGCTGCTGCCTCTGTCTTCACATGGCCTTGTTTCTGAGCGCCTCTGTGTCTAAACTGCCCTTTTCTTAGAAGGACACCAGTTATTGGATTAGGCCCCTCCCTAATGATCTCATTCTAACTCCGTTACATCTACAAAAACCTCATTTCCAGTTAGGTCACGTTCACAGGTACTTGAGATTAGGACCTGAACATGTCTTTTTGGGAGGATGCAGTTCAGTCCCCTGGCAAAGAAGATACGTGTTTGTAAGAACACTTATAAGGTTCCCCAAGTGTTATAATTTACAGCTGGGACATGTGCTGGACCCGGAGAGATGCTGGTTTTGTTAGAGCAGGGAGGACCCAGCGCTGTTGCAGGCGGCTCTCTGCTGGGCGGGCGTTGGGGGCAGAAGTGCTGGGAAATGGGAGTGGGAACCATGGGTTTGTTCTTAAGTTACTCCTAGACCAGATCTTCTCTGTCTTTTGGATTTGCTTCTGTTGAGGACACCAGTGCACCATTCCAGGTGTGTTCCGATGACTGCCTAGATGGCAGACACACATGGCCCGCCATCTCAGAGCCCCGTGATCTCAGGCAAAGGGGCACAGAGGCAGTACCAGTGCATGAATATCTTCCTTCACGACCCTTTCTGCCTTCGAGCTCATCACGATTCCTGCATAACATGAGAGCATTCCAGCAAAAGGAGAAAAATACAGTCAGCCAGCCAGCTCGTGCATCCATTGCTTGGGGCACCTTGAAACCATGGCTGACAACCCCTTTTCCCCTCCAGACAAGTTGCAGGGGGAATTGACGACCACATGCCATCTGCTGGGAGAACTTGGCATCAGCAGCTCAGAAGAGAACACGAAGGCCTTGGACCTGCTGAGGGAACTCAAGGAAATGACCCAAAAGAAGGATCTGGAGCTCCAAAGGTATTACAGAAAATATTTAAAAAAAAAGATAGTGCCCCTCTCCCCGCATCTCCTCGTCGGGCAGAGATGGGCTGTTGGCGGCTGCCCTGTGGAAGGTGTGCTGTGTCCCGGAGGGTTGGCAGCTCTGGTGTTTGCAGGGGCTGAGGGTACGAGGGTCCAGCGAGGCAGGGAGAGGGGAATGGGCAAGGTGCCTTCAACCCAACCAGAACTCCTGTGCTCATTCTTGAGCAGCCAAAATAGAAAGGGGCGATCACTTCCTTGGGGTAACACAGCAGTTCAGGGGCTCTCAGATAGTTTTTTTTTTTTTTTTTAATTATTTATTTACTTATGGCTGTGTTGGGTCTTCGTTTCTGTGCGAGGGCTTTCTCCAGTTGTGGCAAGTGGGGGCCACTCTTCATCACGGTGCGCGGGCCTCTCACTATCGTGGCCTCTCTTGCGGAGCACAGGCTCCAGACGCGCAGGCTCAGTAGTTGTGGCTCACGGGCCTAGTTGCTCCGCGGCATGTGGGATCTTCCCACACCAGGGCTCGAACCTGTGTCCCCTGCATTGGCAGGCAGATTCTCACCCACTGCGCCACCAGGGAAGCCCTCTCAGATAGTTTTTTGACGCTCTCTGTGGCTCGTGAGGTCTTAGTTCCCCAGCCAGGGATCAAACCCAGGCCACGGCAGTGAAAGCACAGAGTTCTAACCACTGGACCGCCAGGGAATTCCCAGGAACTTCTTATTGATGTATAAGTACATACAGAAAAGCCACAGATTGTAACGGTACAGCTCAGTGGCTTTCTCTACCGGGCACCCTTGTGTAACCAGTGCCCAGGTCCATTCAGCCCATGTCCAGCCCCCGAAAGCCACCCGGTCCCCTTCTCTCTCTCCTCCAGGACATTTCTAACCATGAGGCTTTCTTCCACCTCTTCCAAAAAAGAATCTAGTTTTCTTCTCCTTTACGATGCCAAGTGTACTTCCCGAGGTGCCTGAGAGGTTTGAAAGGTACTCATGATAAACACCACCTGCTATGGCATCTCCTTCGTTACTATGTGCCCCGGGACGAAATCAGACACACCAAAGTGTTCTAGGTGGCCGGGGTCACAGGAGTGAATGGGGAAACACGCTCGTTTTGTGCTGATTTCCCCACTGCTGTTTATTTTGTGTGGTTGCTGGGGAAGTTCCCCGTTCATGGCTCTGCCTCCTGCTCTTAGGATGGTTCCTGTCAAGTGTTGATACTCCCTAAATATTTGTCGAGTAAACAACTCTTTTCTTTCACACCTGCCCGGTCCTGCTCTCAGGGCTTCCCTGTTTGAGTTCTGTTCAGACAAAACTTATTCACCGCCGCTTTCCCACGAGCCCGCCCCCCCCCCCCGACATGGCAGCTGCGAAGGTGCTCGGGCACAGAGGGTGAAAAGCTTTCATCATCATCTTGTTTCCACAGGAGCTTTACCCAGGTTCTGGAACTCTCTGCCGAGGCGAGTAAAGAGGCAGCCTTAATCAACCAGGAGGCCTGGGAAAAGGCCCAGGGCCCCAAGGCCACCAGCCAGTGGTATTTCAATCCTGAGGAGGCCACTGGTGGGGAAACTCAGGGAGAGCTAAGGAGCCTGCTCCTTTCGGGCCACGACGAGCCGTGAATCCACACGCAGGCTGTGTCCCCAACCGGAGTGGGGACCTTCCTGCACACCATGGGGAAGGAAGCACGTCCTGTGCCCCTTGCTTGAGGTGGGGAGAGGGGGTGGACCTGCAGTGACCCACATATGATGTTCTGGAAACTTGAGCACTTTATACACTTAGCCTAGCCATATAGTTATTGTTTTGTATGATAATCTCGTTTGATAATTTAACAAATAAAACTGTTTGCAGTTGAGCCTTGATTTCTCTGTAAGGGGCAGTGGAAGGCGCGTGTTGTCCCAGCTTACTGCAAAGAGCTGGTCCCGAGCCTCAGAACCTCACAGACATTGAGTCCAGTTGACCCTTGAACACTGTGGGTTTGAATTGCTGGTCCACTTATACGTGGATTTTTTTCAGTAGTAAATACTGTAGCACGACACGATCCGTGGTTGGTTGAATCCATGATTCATAACTGCGGTTACGGAGGGCAGACTATAAGTTCTACGCAGATTTTCGACTGCACAGCCCCTAACCCCGTGTTGTTCAAGGGTAAACTGTATTTCACTTTCAAGATGATTTCGTGTCCTTCAGTCACAGGGCAGTTCTGTTCAATAACCCACAGCAAGTTCAGAGTTGGCCCTCAAATGGAAATTCCCCATCCAGTCCAAAGTCCCAGTGGCCATCCTTGGGGGACGCCTACGCGGTTTTGCCATAGCTGCTACCTACACTTCACTCGGGACTATGGCACAGAGGATCGGTCCAGCCCACGCTTGGGCTTCTGTCTACACCACCCGGGCCCTGGCAGTCTTCGTGGTTCCCATGGAGCATGCCTCCGTTGACATCTACCGGTTCCCATCTACAAGCAACTTTCTGACACTACACCCCATCCCACTATCAGTAGTTTCTTGGTTTGCCCACCCGCATGTCATGTGGATTACCTTCCCGATGACCAGAGGCCTAAGAGGCACTCTTTTGTCCCCACATAACTTTTCCCTTCATGGGCTGGCGGCCAAAGCTCAGATCTTTAGAAATCTGACCTTGCTCTGGCAGGAAGGTGTGACCCAACATTCTCTTTACTTTCATTAGAGCTACTGCTCATGACAATAGCCAGAGGTTAGACTTCACCATTTTTCTTGTTTATTTGCATTTCCCTAAGCACCAGTGGAGTTGGATCCAGCTCTACATTCCAACGGTAAATTTTATCTTTAACTGATGGCAGCTAAGGTGATATTCACCCAAGAATCCAAGGTTCCTCAACCCCCCCAACTTTCATCCTTTCTCTTCCCAACCCCCATGTTTCCATGAGCCAGGCCCATTCTAGCAAATCCCACATTCTCTGACCTCGGTTGTACGGTGGTTTCTGAGTTAGTGTTTAATGGGGACAGAGTCTCAGTTTTGCAAGATGAAAAGTCTGAAAAAGTCTGTTTTGCAAGATGGTGCTGATGGTTGCACACCCATGTGAATATACTTAACACCAGTGAATATACTTAACACCAGTGTTAAAAGTATGCTTAGAAATGGTTACTACGGTAAATTTTCTGTATTTCTTACCACAATAAAAAAATGTAAACAATGGGGGCAGAGTAATTATTCACAATCCAGGAAGACAGGAGAGAAAACAATAGCAGAAGAAACTCTTCAATACATGTGTATGGTGAAGCACTAACCTTGCCCAAGAGAAATTGGGCCTTTGCTCTCAGCTCTTAGGAGGTGACTTCTAGGCCCCTGGAATGTTCTACTGGACAGGAGTATCTGTGTGCATGAGGACTTCGGGCCATGGGGGACTTGAGTACTGCCTTTGGAAGAGACTGGAGTCTGAAAGTCAGCCATGCAGCTGTACATGACCATGCCCCAACAAAAACTGTGTACTGAGGCTTGGGTGAGATTCCCTAGTTAACAACTGGTGTGTGTTGTCACACAGTGTGGCTGGGAGGGGGAATTGCCGTCTGTGAGTCTCCAGGGAGAGAGCAACGGGAAGCCCCGTGTTTGGACCCCTCCTGGACCCTGCCCCATGCATCTCTTTCTTGGGTTGGTTTTAATTGTATCTTACCACTGTAATAAACTGTGACCATGAGTATAACAGCTTCAAATGAGTTCTGTGAGTCCTTCTAGTGAATTATTGATTAACTATTGATTAACTAACCAATAATTAACTATCAGTTAATTATTAACCAATAGCTAACTATTGATTAACCAATAATTATTAACTAACCAATAATTAACTATTGGTTAATTATTAATCAACCATCTCAAAACCACCTGAGATGGTTTTGGGAACCCTCCAGTTTGCAATAGGTGTCAGAAGCATGGGCAGTGGTCCTGCCTCTGTGGAAATGTGATGGTTCCTCAAAAAGTTAAATGTAGAATTACCATGTGATTCAGCCATTTCACTCCTAGGTATGGACCTTAAAAAAATTGAACCCAGAGACTCAAATAGATACTTGAGTACCAATGCTTATAGCAGCACTATTCACAATTGCCAAAAGGTGGAAACAACCCAAATGTCCATCAGTGTGTGAATGGAAGAACAGAATGTAGTGCATCTATGCAATGGAATATTACACAGTCATAAAAAAGAGTGAAACTCTGATTCATGCTACAACATGGATAAACCTGGGAAACATGCTGAATGAAGAAGCCAGACATAAAAGGCCAAGTGTTTTATGATTTCATTTATGTGAAATGTCCAGAATAGGCAAATCCACGGAGACAGAAAGCAGATCAGTGGTTGCCAGTGGCTGGGGGAAGAGAGGAATGGGAGTGACTGCTAATTGGTGTGGGGTTTCCTGTAGCGTGATGAAATATTCTGGAACTCGATAGAGGTATTGGTTGCACAACTCTGAATATATTAAAAACCACTTGTAGTGGGTCAAATTGTGGCCCCCAGAATATACATCCATCTGGAACCTCAGAATGAGATTGAATTTGGAATAAGGATTTTTGCAGATGTAATTAACACAAGGATCTCAAGGTGAGATCATCTTGGATTGGCAGTGGGCCCTAAGTTCAATAACAGGTGACCTTATAAGAAAAGATCAGGGGAAACAGACATAAGAGACAGAGAAAAGAAGGCCATGTGATGACAGAGGCAGAGATTGGAGCCATGTAGCTACAAGCTGAGGGAGGCCAAGGATTGCCAGCAGCCACCAGAAGCTAGGAGAGAGGCATGGGAAGGATTCTCCCTTTAGAGCCTCCAGAAGGAACCATCCCTGCCCACACCTTGATTTTAGTTTTCTGGGCACCAGAATGGTTAGAATAAATTTCCATAGTTTTAAGCCTCCAAGTTTGTGTTAAGTTGTTATGACAGGCCCAGGAAAAAATACACCACTGAATGGTACACTTTAATATGATAAGCACGCACATGCACACATACACAACCCTCCCTCTGCAGCCTTCCTCATCTCCACCAATGACAGTCCAAACTTCTAGCACTTAGGCCAAACCCTCCTGTTGCCCTATATTCAGGGTATAAGTGTCTGATAATCTGCCATATGCTTGTTTTTCCCTCTGCTCTTTTTTCTTCTTTCTCCAGCAGCTTTTAGACTATTCATCTTCCCTGTAGTTCCCTTCATCTTTTGGCCTCTATTAACAATTGTGAAATTATGCCACCCACCGTCTAAAATGGGCAGTGGTATACCACATGCTTCAATTAAGCAAGGGCTCCAGAGGGCTGCAGAATGAACAGATGGTATGTAAAATATACTCTGTCATGTTAGGAACTAAACTTAAAACTATTTAAGAAAAAAACTATTCATTGTGAAGATGAATCACATGGAAAGATTGCCATGATTTTTTAAATGAAAACTGGTCAAAATAATGTGTAGGGTGTGGAACAATTTGTGTTAAAATTTCTAAAAATCTGGGAAGATAAACAAAAATGTGTTGAGAGAAGCTGTGTCCAGGGTGGGGGTACTGGGGACCCTGAGGTTAGAGGGGTGCTTGCTTGTGATTCTTGTTGCATTTTGTGTTCCTTTGGTCAAGTATTTTCTCATCTGCATGTATCACATTTCCGCAAGAAATTCATACCTGGAATTCAAGCAAACAGGCTTTCTAAATTGCCATGCTTACGTTCAAGTTATGGTGTCTCAACCTTAGCACTGTTGATGTTTGGAGCCAGATCATGTTTTTTGCAGCGGAAGCCATCCTGAACATTTTATTTTATTTTTATTTTTTTGTTTATTTGGTTGCGCCAGGTCTTAGTTGTGGCACGTGGGCTCCTTAGTTGCCGCATGCGAACTCTCAGTTGCAGCATGCATGTGGGATCTAGTTCCCTAACCAGGGATCGGACCTGGGCCCCCTGCATTGGGAGTGTGGAGTCTTAACCCCTGCCCCACCAGGGAAGTCCCCATCCTGCACGTTGAGGGATGTTGAGCATCATCCCTGACCTTCATTCACCAGATGCCAGTAGCATTCCCCCAACCAAAAACGTGTCTGGACATTGCGCAGTGACCCCAAAGTTTGGAATTGCTCTGTGTGGTAACCCCTATGATGTGCCTGCCCCCACCCCCACCCCATCAGCCACACCATCTTCATCCATTGACCTCATTCATTCATTGCAGAAGAAAAGACGAGAATACAGCTCTGTGTGACTGCTTCTCGACCATGACTGGGCTGAGAATTAACACAAAGTCTGGCAAAAATCTCGACAAGGGTTGGCAAACTACAGACTTCAAGCCAAATCTGCACTTCCTCCCGTGCCTGCACATAAAGTTTTATTGAAACATAGCCACACCCATTTGTGTACATGTGGTCTGTGGCTGCTTTCACTCTATAATGGCAGAGTTGAGTCTTTGTGACAGAGACCATCTGGCCTGCAAAGCCTAAAGTACTTTCCATCTGACCTAGTAAAGGTTTGCTGACCCCGATTGAAACAGTAAAGTAGGAAATCTAAGTTGTAAAAGAACATAGTTAGCTTTTTCCTGTGGGACTCAAAAGTTGTCACCATTCTTGAATGAGGGTTTGTGGGCCAAGAAAGAGTTTTGCTTTTTGTGGATTCCTCCCATGCGAAAGAAGAGCTGTCCAC